AACCGACGGACTTTGGGTTCATAACAGAGAAACCCCTTGTGTTCCGTACTATAACCCATGAAAGCACACATAGCTAATTGAGCTGTTAGCTTTGTGCGTTCATGGGGAGGGTGATGGACAAAGCAAGCACATCCGAAGACACGAAGTATGGATAAGTTTAGTGGATGATGAAATAAGGACTAAAAAGTGCATAGTCTTTCTTTTAGTGAGATGCTTCTTCATAGTCTTCACACAAAAATCTATAGACAGATCCCTGAAGTGAGCCAATTCATACTCAGTCCAAAGATTTACAAATCCTGCATAGTATTCCTGAATTTGCTTCTCCCCTTGAACATAGGAGAAGATATCAATTTCGATCTGATATTGCCTAGACATATTCAATTGCTGATATACCTTTTTTAGGTATTCGAACATGTCATGGGCAGATTTGAGACCTCTCATCGGAATACTGACATCCATTGAGATAGACCCAAGTATCCACTGTTTCAGCCCTTTGACATCACTGGCATCAGGCATGGAAGTGGAACCGTCAATGTAACCCCACATGCCTTTCCCTTCAACAAAGTACTGAAAATGAAATTTCCAAAGAGCATAGTTGCTCCCATCAAACTTAACAGAAATAAATTCATTCTTTTCCAGAGCCATAATGAGAAGGAAACAAGTAAAGACTGACCGAATCAAGCAATAAAGAAGTAATCAAGCTGTGAGAATCAAAGAAACTGATAATAGAAACCTCTTACAGTCACCAGAAAATGTCCAAGTTCCAGCAAATAGAGAAAACTTGAAATACAGTCCAGAAAAGGAAAGTTTGGGTGCAGCCGCCCAGAAGAGATGTATAGATCTCTCTCAAAACTTCTCAGATCTCGATGAAAGTTTCAGAATATGATGAGAGGGCCTAGGCGACACTTCCTTGATAATAGAAACCTCTTACAGTCACCAGAAAATGTCCAAGTTCCAGCAAATAGAGAAAACTTGAAACACAGTCCAGAAAAGGAAAGTCTGGGTGCAGCCCCCCAGAAGAGATGTATAGATCTCTCTCAAAACTTCTCAGATCTCGATGAAAGTTTCAGAATATGATGAGAGGGCCTAGGCAACACTTCCTTTCAATTCTTACCGCAAACTGATGTCGTACGAGAGAGATCTAATGAAACCTCTCTCCTTGGATGCGCAAAACACAGAGAACAGGTCTCTAGATAGATCAAAACAATCCAGATTCAATCGGCAATGATTAAAGTTGTCACACTGATCAAAAGAAGGAGAAAAAGGATCAGAGAGCAGCCTGCTCTAATACCATGTCAGTTCGTGAGAAAGTGAAAGAGCAAGGAAAGAGACAAAGGTTCAGACCTGTTAGGGTTGATCAATCTGATCGAACCAACCCAGAAAAGAGATTTTTATATTAATCTTATGTAAATGGACAAGATTGTCCTTACAAAGAGAATAAAAGAACTGTACACTAAAGTACATGCCTATTACAGTACAAGAAAGAAAAATAAAGTACAGCAGAATTATAAAACTACCCTTCAGTAGTTCTTCTACAGTAGAATCACCCTCTTAAAGAGCTCCTTGTCCATCCTACCTGCATTCTATCTTTCCCTATTTCCAATTCTGGTGAAAGTAGCCAAAAGAATTGAAAAGCTGCAGAGGGATTTTCTGTGGAAGGGATGGGAGGAAGATAAGAAGAAGATCCATGATGAATTGGGATCAAGTGTGTGCTCCAAAGGAAAGAGGAGGTTGAGGTATCAAGCGAGTGAAGGTCTTCAACAATGCTCTTCTAAGGAAGTGCGTCTGGAGATTTGTAGTGGAAAGAAATAGATGCTGGAGAGATTTAATTGCATCAAAGTATAATACAGATAGAGGAGACTGAATAACCATTTCATCTCTACCCTCATTAGGCTGCTCATTATGAAGGAAAATTATGGACATTCTCCCAAGTTTTAGTAGAGGTTTAAGTCCTAAATTGGGGAAGGGAGATAGGCTGGCTTTTTGGAAAGATCCTTGTTGTGGAAATATTCCTCTCTCAGACCTATTCCCACAGCTATTTCAGCTAGCAGAAAACCAGGATGCAGTTGTAACAGACTGCTTTGAGTCAATCGGCAGCTCTGTTGTTTGGTGTTGTCCATCTTTTAGAAGAAACTTTCAGGATTGGGAAATTGTTAATTTTACAGACTTGATTGAGCTGATCTCTCGTCAATCTCTGGAACTGAACAAAGAAGGCAGTTGGAACTGGAATTGGAGTGCAGATGGTCAGTTTTCAGTCAAGTCCTTTGCCCTTTATCTGTCAGATAGGAACCTGGTAGATATGCCTGCAGCCAGAATCTGGAATCCGATCTCTCCTTCAAAAATTAATGCTCTGGTTTGGGCAGCAGCTTTAGACAGGTGTTTAACCAAACCCAACCTGTCTAAGAGAGGAATGAAGGTCCAGGATCAGGGGTGTGTGATGTGTGGTCAAGCATTAGAAGACAGTAATCATCTGTTCCTTCATTGTTTCATCTCCTCTTGCATTTGGGAGCATTATTTATCAGCTCTGTGCCTTGCATGGGTTATGCCTGGTTCAGATTCTGTGGAGCTGGGATCTGCATACTCTTTCTAAGCTTGCTAGTGGTATGTGGATGTCTATTCCGGCTGCTGTGATCAGCACCATTTGGGCAGAAAGAAACAAAAGGTTATTTCAGAATATTTCCAAAGACCCAGAGGAACTAATTTCCTTCTCATTTGGAAAATTGGCCTCTTGGGTTTCGGCTGCAAAGGGGATGTCTATTCCGGCTGCTGTGATCAGCACCATTTGGACAGAAAGAAACAAAAGGTTATTTCAGAATATTTCCAAAGACCCAGAGGAACTAATTTCCTTCTCATTTGGAAAATTGGCCTCTTGGGTTTTGGCTGCAAAGGGGATTCAGGCTTCAAATTTAGAGGCCAGGTTGAAGTCTAGGAATTTCTGGCAGTTGGAAATTTGTAATGTTGTCATGGTTTGGCTGATCCCTTTCCAAGGTGTTTATCTTGGGGGGATCTGTTGTATTATTTCTATTTTAATAAAATCACTTTAACCTTTCTTAAAAAAATAACTTCTTCTAACTGGCGCAGTTGGTCTTTTATGCACATGCCCAAACCAACTTAGTCTACCCTCTCTCATTTTATCACCAATTGAAGCTACTCCTAGGTTCCTACAGATAACCTCATTCCTAATCCTCTCCTTTTTAGTTTTTCCACTCATCCACATTCATGTTTCTGTCACATTCATTTTTTGGACATGTTGTTTCTTGACTACTCAAAACTAGGGGTGAGCAATATTTGGTTAAAACCAAACCGAAAATTTCGGTTTCGGTTTTTCGGTTCGGTTTTAGGGTAATTTGGTTCAGTTGATTTGGTTTTTGAAAATTTTGGTTTTCAAAATTAGAATTTCAGTTAACCAAAAAAACTGAATTTCATTATATAACATGTAATATAATATATAATATATTAATGAAATTCAGTTTTAACCGAAAACCAAACCAAAAATTTTGGATTCTATTTTTTCAGTTTTCATTTATTTTACTTTGATTTTTAAAATTTCGGTTTATTCGGTTCGGTTTTTAACCGAATAAACCAACTGCTCACCCCTACCCAACACTACTCCATACAACATAGCTGGCCTTACAATTGTTTTATAGAATTTTCCTTTTAATCTAAGTGGTATTCACCTATCTCATATAAGTCCAAATGCACCTCTCCATTTTGCCCATCCTGCTCTAATTCTTTGGGTAACATCCTCCTCAATCTCTCCTCAATCTCTCCCTTGTTATGAATTATTGAACCAAGGTACCAAAAACGGTCACGTTGAGTTATTTCTTGGTCTCCAATTCTAAGTGTTCATATGGTGTTCATTTACACTCTTGTTTCTAAGGCATTTGTCCATAAGCTGAATTTTGCATTTAATCCTTCATTTGTTTCATCAATTAAAATAATGTCATCCACTAACAACATGCACCATGGAACTTCCTCCTAAATAAAAGGGCAGCCTAGTGCACAAGGCTCCCGCCAATGTGAGGTTTGGGGAGGGGCAGATGTACGCAACCTTACCCCTACACGTATAGAGAGGTTGTTTCCAACATTTGAACCCTAGTAGCCCATGTCACGATGGAGCAATCCAACTGTTACGCCAAGGCCCATCCTCATGGAACTTCCTCCTGAATATGTTTAGTCAATTCATCTATGATCAGTGCAAATAGATAAGGGTTAAGTGTTGGACCTTGGTTAAGTGTAAAATCTAAAGCTTCTCCCACCAGTGTTCTAACAATGGTTATTGCCCCCTCATGCATATCCTTAATTAGATCTATATACCTATTTTGAACCCCTTTATTTTCCAAGACCGACTATATTATCTCTCTAAGAACTCTATCATATGCCTTTTCTAGATCAATGAACACCATATGAAGATCTTTCTTCTTCTCTTTAAAGTTTTCTATTAATCGTCTCAAAAGAAATATAGCTTCCAAGGTTGATCTCCCTGACATAAAGCCAAATTGGTTCTCTAATACACTTGTTTCAAGTTGTAATCTTTGTTCAATTATTCTCTCCCAAAGTTCCGTAGTGTTATTCATAAGTTAATCCCCTAATGGTTATTACAGCTTTGTATATCACCTTTGTTCTTAAATATAGGCATCATACCGATTTTTCTCCAATCATTAGACATTTTCTTTTCTTTCATTATCTTTTTAAATAGTTTGGTTAGTCATAACAAGCCTACCTCTCCCATACCTTTCCATACTTCTATTGGAATCCCATCAAGTCCTAACGCCTTTCCTTTCTTCATCTTATTTAGTGCCTCTTTTACTTCAATAGGTTTTAACTCTACAAAGATACGTATTATTGTTAACACTACTAGTATTGCTAGATTCTCCTCCATTAGCACCCTCTCCATGTTGTTCATTTAATAATTTTTCAATATAGTTTTTCCATCTTTGTTTGATTTCCTCATCTTTTACCAAGACTCTTTGATCTTCATCTTTAATGCACCTAACATGGTTTAAATCTCTGCCTTTCTTTTCTCTCATCTTTGCTAGTTTATATATTCCTTTTTCTCCCTCTTTAATGCCTAATTTATGGTAAAGCCCATCATAATCCTTACATTAAACTTCATTCACTTTCTTTTTAACTTCAGTTCTTATGGTTTTATATTTTTCCCAGTTTTCTACATTTCTAGCTTTTTGTCATTCTTTGTAGCATGCTCGTTTTAGTCTAATTATATTTTGAACCCCTTCATTCCACCACCAAGTTTCTTTAGTACTTTACCACTTGCTTTTATATTCTCCTAAGACATCCTTTGCTACTTTCTTTATATCGTTTATCATTTCAAGCCAAATGTCATCAGTCTTTCCATCTAAATTCCAATTCCCTACTATTATCAATATATTTCTAAATTGAGCTAGCTTTTCTCCTTTCAAGTTTTCCCACCTAATTCTTGGACGCCTATTTTCTTCCCTATTTCTCTTCCCTTTATTATTACACATATCTAGGGGTGGCAATTTTTTACCCAACCCGCTGAACCCGCCCAACTCACCCAATTATTAATGGGTCGAACCCATTTATTTAATGGATTGGGTGGGTTGGGTGATCGAACCCATCAAGAAGCATAGAATCACTCGATTATACAGAGAAGTGGAGACTGGAGAACGCCTGAACTAGAAGAGGAAATGATGAAATCTAGGGTTTAGCTGAGACCACTCGATCAATACAACGATTTAAGCTGTCGGAAAACGAAGAGGGAACTCTAGGTTTTAGCAGAGATACGACGATTAAGGCTATCAGAGAACGCAGAGGGAAGGACGAATATTAGGGTTTAACGGAGACCAATATGGCGATTTAGGCTTCCATCTCAGGTACTCAAACTCTCTTTCTCTCTATCTCTCTCTCTCTGTATCTTTAATCTTGTCTGCTCGCCAGTGGGTTGAAAAGCAGGGTTTACTTCCATCTACATCTAGCGAAGAACTTCCACTGACAAAGGGTTTTCCAGGCAGTGGAAGCCTTCTTGCTGTGAGAACTGCAACTTAATCATTTAGTTTCTTTTATGGTTATCAAGTTAGCCTATGAACTTCTGCCATGTGATGAAGAAAACTGTCACAGATTCAGATTATGGCTTTGTACAATAAATGACTAGCCTGCTGGATACATTTTCATATTAAATATTTAATCTCTTAAAATCCAAGGCGTTGATAAGTAGGACTTTTTGAAAATATTTTGCATAGTTTTCAGTTACCATTGTAATCAAAAAGAGCCAGCTAGCATGTAGATGGGACATTTGTAATTTCTGATGGTATTATAGATTCTAATTTCTTTAGAAACTGGCCGAAGTTTACCTACCTTGACTTGTCTATGAACCAACTTTCTGGTGTCTTACCTCTTTCTCTAGCTAACCTCACCCATATTTCACAACTCTATTTACACAGTAATGTACTAACAAGGGAATTGAACCAAATTTGTTTGGGAAGTGGAAAAAATTAAACTAAGTAACCTTCAACTCCAATCCAATCAGTTCACTGGGAGTATTCCTCGTGAAATTGGTATCTTGACCAATCTAGAGTACCTAGATCCCTCGGATAACAAGTTAAGTGGATCAATCCCAGATTTATACTACAAACAAATTTGGAACGTAACATGGTGACTTCTTTTTGGTTTCTGCCTTCTTTTACTTCATTTCCACCAACTGTGTAAATGGCTTTCTGCCATTCTGTTTATAATATCAAATGGTTTTATTCAGAAGCATTAACAGAAGAAGAGTGTTAGTAGGCAAGTATTTGAACAACCCATAACACATAAATACAAATTGAAACAACGTGTAACACACACAGACACAAGAAGAGAAACATGCACCCATCCCCCACACATGCACATAAGAAAATAAACAACTTGTAATACCTTGGCATTCAAGCTCATAGAAACATCCGATTCGAGTTATCACAATATCTTGGATCTTTGCAGAACTTGAACAAAAAGGCATTGTAATCCCTTTGTGTCCTGTTTACTGCTAATGCCACCAAAAGGGAATATATGGCTATCAAGCAACTCTCCTCTTGAATCAGTCCAGATGCTAATTAGCCAACGCCAGTCCTCAGTCCATCCATAACAGCAATGAAGGCTTGGTGCCTTTTGATAGCTAGACCCAAGGACACCAGGATCTGATCCATCAAGCAGAGAGCCTGGTCCAATATCAACACTTCCCAATGAACTTGTGTTTTTGATAAAGCTACCACCACCATTATCATCAGAAGGCCTTGAGGATTCTAAGGCCACACTACCAGACATTGTTGGCAAAATTCCATGCTCTACAGAGCCAGGTTCTGCAAGGATAATAAAGGTTCAAACTACTGCATTTGGCTATGATTTCTATGATTTCTGGGTCAAACTATTGATTGGAAGAAGGGTTTTGGAGATTTTTCGGTCTGAGTTTTGAAGCCTAAAGAGAGATCTAGAGATTTCTGCCTAGAGCCCAAGAAGAATAGAGATTTCCTGATCTTGGATTTCTGGATGTTGATTACTTGTTCTGAGTCTTGGAAGTATGCAACAAGAAATATCCAAATTCATATATCAGGACTCTTTTAGTTTTTCATCCCCTATAGTTGGGGCAAGGCCTTTTTGAGTTAAATAGATGCCTGAGAATAGAAGCATCTGGTATACAATAGAAGCAGTAGCTGCCTGAGAATTGGTAGAAATAATCTCTGTTCACTTAATATGATAAAGCAAACCTACCAGTTCTTTCTCTAGTGGAATCAAAATTTAAAGACAATACATGCAAGGGAAGAGCTGAGAGTAATTGCCTCCAGAAATTTTTACAAAACTCTACATATTTTTTTTATCAGCATACAAAACTCAATATATATTCAGCTTATAACAAGCTAATCCCCTAATGGTTGCAGATGAGACCTAAGCTAGCATGTCTATCCTGAATCATCATTGTTCAGGCCTCACACAAACATGTCATTTAGAAGCTATAGGAGGAATAGGAATAGGATTAGGCGAATCCCAAGGGCAAGGAATAGCATGGTCAACATTAACATATAGATCAATTCATCAAAAAAAAAAAAAAACATTAACATATAGATCAATGGTGTAATTGGATAGGTAACAGGGGCTATCAGGGCTGTGATGGGTTAATCCTTTTTTTTATCAAAAAAGAGTAACTTATTAATTGATTAAAAGGTTACAAGTACATCCAGAGCTGGGAGTGGATACCCAGCCACGTGTAGTGTCCAATTGGGACTGGATACCCAGCCCTACTACATGGTTTTAACTTTTAAAGTCTACAGGACAACTGTATTACTTAAACTATTAACCTTAATTCCTTAGCCTCGTTTGATGGTTTGGAATAAGATAATAATCTACAGAGAATACCTCAGCTTCTTTTACCATCTTATAAAACATTATATTATTTCATAATGTTTCCACTAACTCAATTTTTGCCATATTTCCATATGACATTTCCAATGTGTTTCACTGTTTCCCATATTCAGAATTTCAGATGAACTGACATCTCTACTGCTCCCAACAATTTAAAACCTTGCCTCTAAGTATGAAATACATTTATACTCCTTTAAATTATTTTCTTCTCAATAGCCAACGTGATAATTTCAATAAGGATTGTTGTTATTGATCAAAAAAAAAAATTCAATAAGGATGTTGATATCCAGCTTTTTGTCACTATATATTCTTCATAATTTCTGTTAGAAATAAAAAAATCGGGTCAACCTATTGAGAATGAAAAATCCACTTATTTGCTTTTACAGAACATACAAGGTTTCATGCTGAACAGGACTTGAGTGCAGGCTTGGAAGGTGACTGTAGGTCACTTCTTATGGTGAAGTAACATTCTTTTTAGGTTAGTGGAGCTGTTATTGCTTGGCCAGATCTCATGGAGTTATTGGGGACAGATTTGAAGAAAGTCTTGGATGCTGAAATGGTTTCAGGGGAATCGGTTGTTCGGACCTTGGTAAGTCTTGGATGCTGGAATGATTTGAAGAAAGTCTCAGTCTTTTCAGTTGTTTGACAATGTGTAAGTCAGTCAATTCTTTGGGCAGTTTTTCCTTCCACTATTTGTTTGGCAGTATGGGAAGACAAACAGAAGCAATTTTCACAGTAATACTGTTTTTTCACATGTATAGAAAGGACAAAATTAAAGTTGCATTTCTGTTTTTTCAAATTTTTATGTAATTTCTATTAATTTTATGCATTTTTGTGTTTTTGTTTAATTTCTATTTTATTTCTTGCAATTTCTATTATTTTTGTATAATTTTCATTATTTTATCTAAATGGGTTGGGTTGGGTTCAGGTGGGTTTGGATTGAACCCAACCCATTTAATTCTATCTAGTTGGGCCATTAATGGGTTGGCGGGTTAGATGGGTTGGGTTGAAACTCAACCCAAACCCAACCCAACCCGCCCAATTTCCACCTCTACACATATCAAAAAATACTTAGCAGTTATATTTTAATGCATTCTTACATAACTATCAAATTCACAGTACAAGGTGCTTGTTCAGTACTTAATTAAAAAAGAAAGGTGATATTATGTGATCTTTAAAAACCTACTAGATTATCATGTAAATTCCCTATTTAAATGTAGACAAATGCAGTATATATGCATGTGTATGTACATATACATATATGAGAGAGAGAGAGAGAGTAGACCATTCTAGGAGAAACATAAAATGCAACCAATGTCAGTTAAATTTCAAAGAAAATATAAGCTTAAGCAAAAGCATACATCAAATACTGAAAGACTAAAAAGAAATGCAGAAAGTGATACATCTAGACATCATGGGTCAACCAGAATCACCAGAAAATTTTTTTAAAACTAAAATTATAAAATCAACGAAGCGCAAGGTGTTGTCACCTCTTATCCCGAACAATGCGAACATCTCTCACACGACCAAACCTTGAAAACTTCCTTTCAAGATCTCTTTCTGTTGTCACAAAACTAAAACCTGCAACAAATAAATTATTTCCAGGTCTTCCCACTCCAGTGCTCCGGTTAGGAGGTGGTGACCAAGGTCTCCTTCTAGGAGATCGACGACGAGAATGATACCCTGAAGGAGGAGATCTGTGTCTAGGGGAATACATCCTACAACACAAGCATGTTGTTAATACTCAATACAAAAATCAAATTGCCATGTACAACAGAAGCAAAATAAACAACACAAATTAGGTAACAGAAATGTGGGAGGAGCAATGACTAACTCTATCTTCCCTTTACAGCCCATCTGCTTTTAAAGATTGAACCTCTGGTTATGAAAATGAGATGAAATGGAGACAGTTACTGCCTAGACCAGGTCTAGGGACATTTAATGACCATGATACTATGAAGTGAAGGGAGAATCTGCTGATGAATAGAGAACTTCTTGAACTCATTATGTTCTAGCCCCATACCAAAATGTGACATTAGGATTAAATATAAAATGGACCATGAGATCGTAACAAGGCCCTACGCTGCTACGCAGACAGCAATTTGACACTAAGGTGACACCAAGATAGCAAAAGCAAAACCATAAATCATATGCTGTTTTATTCCAACAAGCTGCCCATGGTTCTCTTGCAGAAATAACAGATGTGCAAGAAACAGCAGTTACACCATTTCTGGGAATAGCAACCTGAGGGACATAATGAAAACTCTTGTAAATATTAAAATATCTCATGGAAAGCAAGTTAAACAATGGATGGCTGTCTTCTATTCAGAAGCTGATATTAAATGACCATAACTGAACAGTTCAAACAAAAATAAAAAGAAAAGAAAAGCAACATAACCTTGGGGGTCTTCTCTGATGGTCTCCTGTACGTGAGGACCTTGATCGAGATCGATCACAATCGTCTCTTCTATATGCAGAAGAATATCTACATCTATTGGGTGATTGTGACTGTGACCTGCCTGGTTGTCTATCATCTGATGGTAAATGGTGACCTCTTGATGATCTAGATGGGCATTTCTCAGAACATCCATCCCTGCATTGGGAATCTTGTGAAGATTGCCTCCATGGAGAAGCAAAATTCCCTCTGGCTGGAGATAAATGCCCTTGGGAAGAAATCCTTTTACCATCTGCAGTAGACCTTTCAAGAGGAGGGAAGCATTTCTGCCTGGAAGGTCTGGTAGAATATAATGGGTCTTGAATATTCTGTGGTGGAGATATTGGTTTTTGAACCAGGGATAGTTCCATATGCGTCGACCTTTTGGGAGAGATAGACATTTGCCTCAGAGGTGATACTGATCTTTCTGATGTTCTCTGTGGAGAGTACAAATCTGAGTGATGCAGCTCCAATTTTCTGCTATCAGTAGATAATCTACTTGCATGAAAAACATCCTGCTCAGTTTCATCAGGGCTGTTTTGCATTTTTGCAGGGCACACAGACCTTTCCATGGGGTGATTGTTATTTCCCATTTCCATTTCCTCACAAGCAGATTCATTTTTCTCACATTGTAAACTTCTGGAAATTTTTTCCTCCAACTTTTTATCATGGAGAAGAGAACTTTTTTTTTTTATGGAGAGGAGAACTTCCCCTCCATAGATCAGAATTTTCCTGTTCAAGGATTCCTCCCTGATGATGCACATCAACTTCTAAAGGAGATTTACAAGATTCTTTGTTTCTCATTTCATCCCTGAAAGCTTCTATCTCAATTGGGGAGGAAGATCTATTAGAATAACTACCAGATACCACCTCCCTTTCCTCATAGTAATGTTTGTTTGTTGATGTAGGTGAAGGTGGTAACATTCCCTGATTATAGGCAATGTTTCTTGTACTCATCTCACCCTGATCTTGGTCAGTCTTCTGTGGTAAGCTAGATTCCATACAAGGAGATTCTAGTCCCTCGCACATAACATCAACATGCATTGAGAGGAAATCATGCTGCCCTTGGTGGTTCAAATCCACTTTAAGTTTATTACTCCATGCATCATTTTCATGACCATAACCCTCAATCCCTTCTTCCCTACTCACTGCAAGATTAAGGTCTAATTTTCCAATGACAGTTGAATTGGCCTCTTCCTGAGGAGCATTGATATCCTCCCATCTCCTATCAGGAGACTCCAGACCCATCCCTGCTTAAAAACCTCAATCAGGATAACCAAATTGAAGCAAAAGAAAAGCAAAGGTTTGAACATTCAAAATGAACACAATAACTTAAAAATATCAGTTAACTCTTTTTCCAAATTCATATAGAAACCATCTTCTTTAGACCACATTCCAACAATGGTTTAAAGTATCAATACACCCAAATGAATAAGCAGGGGTGTATCGATACCTTTTATCCCACACGTTCTATTTTTTTCAACATTTCATTTTTATACAAGTTTTTATATTGTTTAATAAATAAAAGAATTGATTTCCTGAAAACACCTTTAAGCAGGTGTATCGGAAACCCAGCGATACGAGTTACCCAGTTATCTTGTTAAAGTAAGAAAAACCTGAAAACTTTTCAGTACAATAATTAACTTCACCAAAAAACAGTTGGTAAATTACCCTACTATATATGCATTCAAATCATAAAGTACAGATGTCCACTTTAAGAAATAGATGCATTCAAAACATAAAATAAAATTATCTCAAGTGATAGATAAAGAGTATTTTAGAGAATACAAGTTAGAGAAGGTGTTTTCTCTATCTAATCTTCTCATTCCTCTTGCTAACATTGCTCAGAACTCTCGACTGTGAAACTTAACGTTCTCGATTGAAATTGTTTAAAATGGATCTCCCTGACCACAATTTATAGGTGATCAAGAAACTGAGCTCTTCCTGTCAACATGACTGGTTTTGTGCACTGAGTATGTCTGACATATCACTAATGAACCTCTGAATCATCTCAAAGCAATCAATCGTTTCATCATGGCACTGACATCAGCATGGCATTAATGATGAGAAAAAGTATTACATTACAAACTATCAATCTTAGGAAAGGAAAGGAAAGGAGATCAAAGAACACAAGAGGCACACCATCCCCTCCCAAACTATCATGTTCCATAGCCAAGCTCTCTACTAGTGAATTGACTGATCCATCCAAACCAGCTGTTCATCCTCAATACCAAGCCTCCAGTCTCTCTAATGTGATGTCTCAACATCCAAGGACCCCCTCTACTGACCTAGCTGCCCTCAGCCATCTTTTTTTCAGCATTTTTCCTTTTTTGTTCTTACTAATTTTAATAAATTACTATCAATCCATTATTGCTTAAAAAAGGATGTTTACTGAGCTCTGCCTCCATCCAATGATTTTGTGTGTGTATGTGTCTGTATGAGAGAGAGAGAGAGAAGATAACTCATTGTGTTAAAAAGAAAGCAAAGGAGATGTACATGAGGGAGGCATACAAGAGCTGCCACTATACAATGGGACCCTTCCAACCCCAGATGAGGCAATTTGCTACTAAATTCTGTTCCCTTGAGATCCATCTTATCTGAGTTGATCTCAATGACAACCAGTAAATTGCCCTCCATCTCAATTCTCTCAAGCGCTACAAAGAACCACTATCTTGCCTACATGATTCTTGGCCTCAGAGATTTAGTTTCCTTGATATTCTTCCTTCATTCAATGATGATCAACAAATTTCCAGAATTTACTAGTTCTATATTCTTTCAATACCATTTTTTCTTCCAAAAACTAAATTCTTGACTTCGTAACATTCTTATAAAACACATAGGAATTGGACTTTTTCCAAACTTGCATTGAAATTGTTTTAGGACTTGCACATGATTGGATGACTTTCACATAGGACTTGCACATGATAGATAGATAGATAGAGAGAGAGAGAGTTATGAAGATTTCCTGAATTTCTTAGGACCTGCCTTTTTATCAATAAACACCTGCCCTTATTAAGTTTCTAATTTCATGCAATACAACTAAAAATTTTAGGGAAAATTTTGTATTTTTAAAAGAGATTCCTTGTAACCTCTGTAAGTATGAGCTTTCTAAACCAAACCAGCAATCAAAGCGGGTCAAACCAGAACAGGTTACTCTACTAGTTCAGTTTGGCTACTGAACCAAAATGATGAAAAAAAGCTGGACAAAACCAGATAGTTTTGTCATAAAAGCACCGTGAAGGACCTGGAGATGTCCAGCTTCTCAAAAACCATTGTGTTGTATTTTTATAAACATATTCCAAGTTCACATATCCGGTTTTTGGCAGGTCTTGGACATGGTTGAACTAGGTTGTACCAAACCACCATATATTTGGTTCATCAGTAAATTTATAAACACCTGTTGTGATTATCCTGTAAAGGATTAAGATTTATTTCCTGTCTTTGTGTCATTGTGGTACTTTCCTATCTCTCATGAATGGTGAGTGAGACCAACTGAAAGTGGCTGGTTGATTTGGAAAATACTGTCTCATTCTCAAGGATTTAATCTCTGGTTTTCTGAGATTTTCTGACCTGGGTCAAAACCAAAATAAAAATCCAAAGTTTCAGCTGAATTTTGTGATAAGCCCAAGTGACTGATGGATTGGTGTTAAGGCTACGTTCTCATTCTCAAGGATTTAAATCTTGGTTTATTGTAGTATTTTGACCTGGATAAAAATATTTTAAAAAAATCCAAAATTCAGCTCAATTTTATCATCATCATCCCCCAACCATATGAAGTTGGCTACAAGAATCCTATTTCAACATTCCCATCTGTTTAAAGCCATAGCCACTTGAATCATTTCTTACTACTACAACCAATGTCCTTTTTGGTCTACTTATAGACCCTTCAAGTTGCAACAAATCACTTCTTCCTATGGGTACAGGTACTGTCAGCTATGCAAGTGACCAAACCATCTTAGTCTACTCGTCTTTTATCAAGACTCTCTTCTTCCTTTTGATGCACTTATTATGGTTTAAATCTCCACCTTTACTCTCTCTCATCTTTGCTAGTTTATAACTTCCTTTTTCTCCCTCTTTAGTGTCTAATTTATAATAGAGCTCATCATATGCCTTAAATTTAACGTCTCTTACTTTTTCTTTAACTTCCTCTCTTATGATTTTCCAAGTTTTCTCCATTTTTAGTCTTTTGCCAAACTTTATGACATGCTCATTGTGATCTGGTTATATTTTGAACTTCTTCATTCCACCACCAAGTTCCTTGGGCACTTTTTCATTTCCCAATAGACTCTCCTAAAACGTCATTTGCTAATTTCTTTATGCAGTTTGTCATTCAGCTCAATTTTGTAATGAACTCAAAACTTCAGGAAATATATTAGTGTATTTGAATAAATTTTTTACCATGAATTCTTTATTTTCTGTCAAGTACGGAGCAAAACTGAAGATTCATATAATTCTCCAAATATTTCACCCTGCTCAACCCAATTCTCCAAATATCAGTACATCCCCTAATTTTTGTGTTTCTCTAAACAAGTTCACACCTTTAGAACGTTTCTTGCCTTCGCATAACTAAAATAAATTTATGCAAAACAACCTAAACGTAAGAGCACCATAACAAGCGGAATTTTTCGCCAAAAAATGAGCTAATAAACAAAACATAAGAAGTATCCAAAAGTTCAATGGACTAAATTGGATAAATAACTCGAGAAATTCATGAAATTGAAATACAGACAATGAGGTGTCTGAAATTTCAATGGGCTAGATTACCTGCTTTGGGCGTTTTACCTATGGCTCCAATGATGGTTAAACAGCGGCTTCTCTCTCTTGATACAGACGTTTATTTGGGAGAAGGAAAAGAAAACGATCAAAAATTGAAGTGGGAGTTGCTTGTGACGACTGACGAGGCTTCATGAAGCAAAATTGCGGTTTTCGAGGAAGCTAACTCCCAACGTGTCGAGCTTTGAGAAGAGTATGATCCACCATTACGTACATGGCCCCATCATCATCGTCCAAGCGAATGCCTGCAGCTTGAAAAATTGACTCGTAACCAACTGATTCTGTTTCGTCCCGATCGAGAAGTGCCCGTTTGGCAAGTTTTTTCTAGAAGATTTGTGAGAGGAAATGTATACATACATTTATATATATATATATATATAGGTGATCAAACTTTTTACTTAATATATGTGAGACCTATATATACGTTTAAATAGGCATTTCATGTTTGTGGGCCCCATGTGCAATCATAAAAAATGAGCCCCACATGTAAATCCACCTATGTATATCCTTTACTATAAAGTTTACAAATAATTTTTAAAATAGGCCTCACACATTTTAACATATGCATAATATGTAATATGAGGCCCTACATACTATTAATTGACATGTATGTGGGGCCCATATACCATAGGTGGGCCCCACATACCATTGATGGACATATATGTAGGGTTTACATATATTTTTCAATGTGGACCTCACATACGATTAGTGGATATATATGTGGGGTCCATGTGTGGACATATATGTGGGGCCCACATACATTTTCCAAAATGGTCCCTACATACCATTGGTGGACATATATGTAGGGTCCACATACATTTTTCAAGGTGGCCCCCACATACCATTGGTGGGTCTCACACATTCAAATAATTTTTTGTCAAAAGATAATCTATTTTCTTCAAAGCATGTGCGTCATTCACATATTTGAAGAAGATGCGAAGTGCTAAATAATTGTAAAAGCTTCATTTAAAGCTTTCCGAAAAACAAACAAGATTTCCTACCCACTCTCTACCCATCATGAATTGCAGCCACACATATCTATAATGAATTAAGAGATATGTGGCTGCAATTCACGAGAATCACAATGGGTATAGAGTGGGTAGGAAAAGTGAGTAGAAAATCTAGGTTCCTTGAAAAAACCCAAATTAAGGATGCTCCCATCTTTTACAGGCTAGAGCTTTTTCCCAATAGATCCCTCCATTGTCAAATGGGAAAAACCTAAAATTTGGGCTTCCGAGCTTCTAAACAGCCCAAAAGCCCATGGGAGAAGACTTGGCAAAAGCTCGGGCTTCTAAATAAAGGTGGATCTCCTTCTATGAGTATGAAATTACCTATTTATAAATTGAATTTAGGGTTAAATAATTAAACTACCGAGAAAAGATCTTACCCTAATGTTTGCATAATCACTTAAGGTACTTCTATAATTTGTGACAATGGACACAATCACTCATTCCGTCATTTCATCATTGATACCTGCTAGCATGTGATGCCACATGACTTTTTTTTCAAAACGCCTAAATTATCCTTTTTATGGTCCAAAATATACTTCGGTCTTTAGTGATAAAGAGGAAAGAGGAAAGAAGAAAGAGAAGAATAAAAAAACAGGATTTGGAGGAGCAAATGTCTGGTTTTTTCTATGAATGTCTCCACTTCTGTCACTGATTTCTCTCTTCAATCGCCAAGGATTCTCAGATCTATGGTGTCTCCAAGCTATTCTATGGGCTTCTCCTCCTCTCCATTGTTGGAGCTTCTACTACATTTAGGACAACCCCAATCTCAACTGTTTGTTCCAACATTGCCAAAAAAACCCAGTCTCCTCAACTTTGAAGGCCCCTTTTTATTTTACTCTTTTAGCTTTGTAATCTAGCAGTCGACATATGTGACCCAATTTCGATATTGAGCCTAACTGCTTTGGCCAAATATATCACTGTAAAAATTGTTCTCTATTTTTCTTAGGCTCAGTTTGGAAGGAGTACAAATGCAAATTTGTTTTGTGTAAAACCTTGTATTTTGTATTATTTTGTATGTATTTGCATTCTATAAATTTGTATTTGTACTCCTTCCAAACTGAGCCTTAGGGAAAATTCCCAATTAGTACCATGTACTTCGGGCATAGTGCAATTTTTGGTCCCCAAACTTTAAAATGTGACAATTCAGTACCCAAACTTTCAAAATGTGTCAATCCAATACCTATCGTTAATCAATTGTTAATCAACTGTTAAATGGCATTTAAAAGACACAAATGCCCTCAAAGTGTTATCTAATTTTCTTTATCAACCATCCAAACATTGACAAAAAATTAACAATCCCAAATCCTTGCATTTTCTATTCAAAAATGTTGACAAAAAATTAACATACCTCAACTTTCTTGAACAGAAGAGGCAAGGATTTGGGACTGTTAATTTTTTGTCAACTTTTGAATGATCGATCAAGAAAATTATATGACAAGCGAAGGGCGTTTGTATCTTTTTCAAATGCCACTTAATGGCCGATTAACAGCTAAAAAGGTCTTCAATTTTAGTTCGATTTGTGGTTATGAAGTTGTGTTATAGCTCTTTTGAACCCTATAATTTATTATTTTTTCTGAAATCGAATTTTATATATCTTTTTTTATTCCTCTCTCTATTTTCATGATGAATATCGGAGACTTGGGTTTCACCCACGTTGTCTTGGGCATGTATTTCTGTTTCGATTTACTCATGTGGACAATTACCTCATAAATTATGGATCACCCACTAATACATCAGTGGAAATTTGTCTTTGTGTTTGATATATTCAGTCCCCTATTCCTTTCAACCTCCAAAAACATTTTAGCCAACACCACTACTTCCTCCACCACCATTTCACCTTTGTATCATATAGCTTGAATCCTTGATGGGACCTCTAAGTACAACTTTCCAATCCAAAAGCAAAGAAGGCATTGGATTTGGCTATATTTCTTCTCATTTGTCTAACAAAGCAATAATGTGAGCATGGGATGCTTCTCTATTTCAACTCAAGATTTCATCCTCCTCAACAATTGTCAAATACATAATGGTTCTCTGATGAAAGAGTTTTCTGTGAACATTACTTCAGACAGGCTCACCCTGGTCATGTGTGTGTGCCCTGTAACTTCTTTTTCTGTCCCATCTCATCGGAGATTTCGTCAGGATTTGCATCAGTCACCTTCTCTAGTGTGTTTTTTCTCTCCGGTGTGTTTGATAATCTTTACCTCTTTACTTATTGGAAGGATAATATGGTCATGTTATCTTTTTCATCAATATTTAACGGCTTTGTCCATTGTCATAAATTATAATGGTACTTTAAGTGATTATACAAGCATTAGGGTAAGTTCTTGTCTATTTGCTAAACCATCCCTAAATATTTAATCCTTGAATTTATTAATTAAATAATAATTTCAAATTGTAATGTTCACTTGATAATAAAAATTTAATATATTTGATTAGTAGATTGTTCTTCTTGCAAATCCATTTATAACCATAATATATAAAACATATATTTGCCTTCCTTTTAGTGCGGTTGATAAAAGCTAGATTTGATTATAACAATACTATATATAATTGATAATTGCCTTGATTTATGTATATCATAAAAGTGGAAAGAAAGTATAAAATTCATATAAGGTTGTGTGTTTTTATTCTTCAGTCTTATACACGGGCATTATAGATGCACATTTACTTGGAATTCTCACACGTGCCCACAGCACATCCCAACTATATATTGAGAACATCTCCACATGATAAGTATAGGAGATGTTTCCAATACATGGTGAGATGTGCATGCGGGGCACATATGGGGTGTGCTTTGTAGGGTGCCAATCTGAACTCCATTTACTAGTATTGACCATTGACTATAATATTCATTATGGTCTTCACCCAATTTTCTTAGATGTTGTATAACCAACCTAATCCTCTTCTTTTTATCTTTGTGGAGAAACACAAGCTAAATCATACACGTACTGGTTTTCTTTCCTTTCTATCAATGAGAACTAGACCTGTTCATGGGCCGGGTGGCCCGACGGGCCGGCCCAGCCTGGCCCGATCCCCGGACAGGCTTGAATGTGGTTATAGGCCCGCAGGCTTAAATTCGGGCCAAAAAGCCCGGCATGCAATAAATTCGAGCCGGGCTCGGGTTTTGTCAAAAATAGCCCAGCCCGACCTAATATTAGACTTAAAGTGAGTAATGTGGTTATATCCATTTGAATAAATTTTTTGATTTAAGAATGTAAAACTGTGTTTTAAAATATAAAAGAAAGGGGAAAAAAACCATCTTGTAGGCCCATTGTTCATTTAAATAGGAAAAAAACTATCTGAATTTTTAATTCTAATTTGAATAGGTAAAATTGTTTTTTTTTTTAATTAGGTCGGGCTTCGGGCTTTTTATCAGGGCCGGGCTCGGGCCCAAGTCATAGGCCCGTTGGTCGGATCGGGCTGGGCTCAGACTCGAACCTAGCATATTTCCCTTAATGACAAGTGAAAGCCCGGCCCGGCCCAACCCATAAACAGGTCTAATGACAACAATACAAATCTACATGGGCGCAGGAAGGCATCGATCAGAAATTTGCTCACTTGTCAAGGATGAGATGCCTAAGTTGTCCACAAAAAGTTGAATCTTTTCTGTGCTCAATGATGAGATGCCTAAGTTGCTTTTGACAATTTTGTTTGCTAACAGGTGGATGGGGGGAAGTGATGAAAGCTTTGTAACAAGAATTAATTGTCGCTTCTCATAGTAAGTACCCAAGTCCAAGTGCTTTTGTGTGGCAGCCCCCTCTTTAGGTATGGTTAAAGCTAACACATATGAGAGTTTCTCTGTTGGAGCAGCTAGTGGTTTTGGTTTTTTGCTCAAAAATGAGCATGGCTCTTTTGTTTTTGGTAAATGTGGATCTCGTAAGGTTATTTCTGCTATCTATGCTGAAGTTGTGGCAATTAGGAAGTGTTGTTTACCTGTTAGATAGTTGGGCTTATCAAATTTGATCATTGAAAGTGATTATTTGTCTTTAATAAATTCTCTTTCTACTAGATCCTTTAATTGTTCTCCTCAGGTTTGGCTTATCTTAAATGGCATTTTCTCTAATGTTGCTTTTGCGTACAAACAAGCAAATTGTTCCAGTTCATCTACTAGCTTCAAAAGGAGTAGTTGGTCCACACCTCTTGCCTGGTTGGCCACTTCTCTTATGGCTAACTGCCATCAGGCTGTGGATGCTATGGTGTTGCATCCTCCTTAGTTTAGTGTCTCTTAGTCCTATGTGTTTTTTCTAGTCATTGTTTTTTCACATCTATTTATATGTTGTTGTTTTTGTTTTCATTCTTCTTATTGATTTTGCTTTTCTACCAGAAAAACT